TGTGTGTGTGTGTGTGTGTGTATGTGTGTGTGTTAGAGAGATGTGTGTGTGTGTGTGTGTGTGTGTGTGTGTGTGTGTGTGTGTGTGTGTGTGTGTGTGTGTGTGTGTGTGTGTGTGTGTGTGTGTGTGTGTGTGTGTGTGCTCATCAGCACTCTCTTTAACAAGATCAGATGCACTCCATTAGACACATAAGCCTCTCAGACAGTGTGTGTCTGGATGAGATGCCACTTTTAAGACAATCATTGTAGGTTTTTTAGAAAAGAAAATAAGAACATCAGCACAGTTTTGTTGGAAATATAAAAAAGTGTTTATTTTTCATCAATCATCCACCTTTTTTTATAGGCTTTCATGGGGATATTCAAATATTCAACTTATTGTAGCTGCATTTTTCCTCTTTTTCACTTTCCAAAGGTTTCACTTTCTTTAAAAGAACGGTGTAACACTTTTAGGAAATTAGCTTTTTTCTCTTTCTTGCTGACGGTTAGATGCATAGATCGATGAAAACATGACCGTGTTTCCTCAGAATACAAAAGCACTATTCTGTCAACTTTAAATGTGGAAATCGCCACATTTATGACTTCACTGGCACAACATTGGATTTGATTTGACTCAGCGTGTGTGAGCTGCCATGAAGTTAAATGGAGGATAATGTTTCCAAATCCATCCCCAGCATACACCTGCAGCTGTTTTAACGACTTGTTCCCAGCATTATGTCCCCTGTGGCACTGAATGCATATAAAGGAACTGTAATGGTTGGGTCTGGCGCTGCTGAATGGATACACGTTTCCAAAATCAACCCGTGTTTGGCAGGCGGTGATTTCCCACCCTGGTTGCAACCCCTGGAAGTCAGATGTGTTTTAAACGGCACATAAAGGATCAGTTTGTTTCCGTGTCCCAAACGGAAAGCTGGCCTCTGAGCCTCCGCCAGCCGCCCTGTAGTGACCCAGCCTCCTAATCCTGTTAGGCCCAAGTGGCTTAGGCTGCCGGGCCTACAGCTCAGTACCCCTCTTTCTGCCTACGTGTCCGCGCTGCATGCACCATATGTTCTTCATCACATGTGTTCCTGCGCTTTTACATATGCAGTAATCTGTCTGAACTCGTCTGCGCTTTTGCACACTCATGTGGATCTGTCTGTGTGTGTCGTAACTGCCCCTAAAGACCCTGCTTACACTTAATACAGAACAAACAGACAGTTCCTTGCGACTTCAGGCAGGTCTGGCTGTGCCGGTGGAAAATGAAATCAACATTTTTAAAGAGGCCCTATTTAGCTTTTTGGGGTTTCTTATTTCCTGTAGTGTGTCATATTCGTTTTGTGCATTTAAATGTCTTCAAAGGCTAAAATCTCTACCTCTTCTTTCATTGGAAAACAAACACCCTAGATACACAATGATGGTGTTTTTCTTTCCTAAACTTGATCTATTTGACTTTGTATATTTCTCCTAAATTCACAAAAAGTTAGCTGTTGGAAAATGGCATATTTATGAATCCTCTAGGGAAAATGCAGGTTTCACTCTGATGTTGATATACAGTACAGTCACAGTTCAAATACACACATGCAAAAACATGCTTCGATGGAGATGTGTAGTTTGAGTTAAGAGTTTCAAGAGTTATAGCTGAGAAAACACTGCACGTAGTTTTTGGGATAGGGATATTGTAATGAATTGGTTTTAAACTCTATAAAGTTACGTTTACCATAACTTTATCGTGAACTTTTTATCTAGTTTATTTAATAAATGAACATGTACTCTTAACAGTTTTCCAAAAAGCTCTAAAAACACTCCAGCCTGACTCAAAGTAAACCTGGAAAGTTTCTGCTGGAAATCCATCTAGCTCCTGTAGCGGACTGCACGGCAGGGACCACAAAATGTTTCTGCTAAATGTTATTTTTTCCTGGAAAGCAGTAGGAAACTTGGCTCCTTTACCCCAAAAGATATAATGCTTGCTTGTCAATGTGCAGTTAAGGTCAGAGTAAAAACACACTTCTATTTCACAAAACGTTACATCCCAGTAGATGTGTAAAATGTTCAGTGCTGTAACTGCAAGAGATCTTGTTCTGTTCGGCTAAAGCTCTACAGATAGTAGTTCATGTAAAAGGAAAAATAATTCGCCTCCGTTACCTTTTAACTCTTCCAAAAACAGAGACAAGTTTGAATGAATTTTAGCAAATGGGGGCCACATTTCAAACCAGCTAAATTTTATAAAAATAAAACTAACTCACAAAACTAACACAGCAGTCTCATGTATCCAGTCGTTTGCTCACTACTTCTCAAACACATGCATTTCACTCAAACCTTACTATTTTTAACACTTATATTTTTTGCATCTGCGCAAGCATGACACTGTTAACGAGGAAGTGTTTTAAATAGAAAGGTTACGTGACATACATGTGTTTGGAGAGTAGTGAGCATACATCTGTTTAAATGAGACTTGGATCATACTGCTCAAGTTGTGTGAGAGTTTATAAACAGATGTTTTGATATAGTTAAGCTGTTGTTAGACGCTGCCCACTNGTCTAACAACAGCTTAACTATATCAAAACATCTGTTTATAAACTCTCACACAACTTGAGCAGTATGATCCAAGTCTAATTTAAACAGATGTATGCTCACTACTCTCCAAACACATGTACCGGTATGTCACGTAACCTTTCTATTTAAATTAGACTTGGATCATACTGCTCAAGTTGTGTGAGAGTTTATAAACAGATGTTTTGATATAGTTAAGCTGTTGTTAGACGCTGCCCACTTTAAAGGGGCCCTATTATGCTATTTGTGGTTTTCCCTTTCCTGTAGTGTGTTATATACTGTAGGGTTTTGTGCATGCGAATGGTCTGCAAAGGCTAAACTCCCAAAGTTGTCTCCAGAGGGAATTTCTCTCCCCCTGAAACGCCTCCATTGGACTCCTTTGTTAACTTCAGTAACATAGTGACATCACCATCTTACACTGGCACTTCTATTGGCAAGCACTGTTCCTTTAATATGTATTTGAGATGTTTGTTGTTTTCAGTGTCACGCAGCTCTGTCCTTGTGCCCACACCTGTTGGGGATTGTCTCAGGGTTTTGGTCTCTAACCCCGCTTAACCCACCTTTCGGACTGCATCGTCTGCGTTCACCTCGCTTCCTCGCCGTGACTGCTGACCTATTTTCTTTTTCGTCTGAGCCCCCCCCACACACACATACTCTCACACACACATACTCACACGGGTGCCGGCAGGCCTCAGCTGAGCAGGCTAATCTCCTGAAGCATTACAGAGCTGCCGGGAATTTGGCTCGACCACACAAACTCAGACATCGGGGTCAAAAGGGGATACTCGGGCCAAATCAAGCATACAGGGACTAGTGGGTCAAAGGGGAAGAATGAATTGGACATGACAGGGGATTTCAGACAGGAAAACACCAGCAAATTGCTCATAGAAGCTCGAAAATGACCCAAATGCTTCATGTGAATGTACTGCAGGTTTCCCGCCTCGAAAGCACACCGTTTACCCTTTCTGTGAGGGAGCAGGTGGGCGTTCGGTTTCTTGAATACTTTTCAGCAGGATACGTGGTTTTTGTTTGACTCAACTCTTGTTGCTGTGGGGATTTAAGCGCCAGGTCAGCCGGCGCAAATTAAATCAAGCTTCATTTGTCCTGCCTTTAAGTGCGTCTGTATGTGGGTGTACGCTTTATGTGTGACTGTGTGGGTATAGGGGAATTGTTAATTAG